TCTCACTCTCTCGCTCTCTCTCTCTCTCTCGCTCTCTCTCTCTCTCTCTCTCTCACTCTCTCCCTCTCTCATCTCTCTCTCTCTCTCTCTCTCTCTCTCTCTCTCTCTCTCTCGTTCTCCTCTCTCTCTCACTTACCGTTTTCATTGACATCATGTTATGCAAGAAATAATATACATTTATTATGTCCCACGTACTTACTGTATGATCATAATTCAAGATATTATACATCCATTTAATTATCATATTTAAATCAAATATAGATATATAAATATATATATATATATATCTACCAATTGGTCCGTGTGATATCCGTTTAACATGATTTCTTCGACATTGGTTGTTTATTGTATATTGGGCGGTGCCTATGTAAGAAAATTTAACTGATGGCACAACTTTTCAAGCATGTAGTGAGTTCAGGTGTCAGATGTCGCAATGAAACTATCAACTCTTGCGTGCTAGCATGATAACGTGAATACGCATAGCGAGCGACATGAACGTAAAGTTACTAATAATTTTTTAAATCTCTTACACTCTAGTATATAGAGAATGAGAGACAGAATGAGAAAGAAGGAGAGCGAGCGTGAGAGAGAGCGCGAGAGCGACAAGAAGGGAGCGAGAAAAAGTATGTGATAGAGAGAGGGGAAGAGTGGGACGTGAGAAACGGATGTGGATATAAAAGCGACCAAGACTATATCTAAAAGACCTCAGACAGCATGAGATGGGAAGAGAGAATATACGAGGAAGAGGGTGCACAAAAGGAATGAGGAAGAGAGTGCGTGCGGAAGAGAAGATATGGTTCATGATGAAGTATAGACAATCTCTCCGAATAACAAAATTCGAGCGAAATAGTAGAACCTATTTCCTATACTGTATACGCTGTATACTTTGCGGTGGTTTAATTTTCGCGTCCGCGACCGCGAAAGTAACAACACGCGAATAATTCATACCGAATAATTCATAATTCCCCGACCGCGAAATTAACCACTCGCGAAATTGTCCGTCAAGTCTGAATTCGCGAAAATATCTGTACGCGAAAAATATGGCTTATACAGTAATATTGTCGTGCGTTCTAATATAAGAAGCTGACTATAACCGCACACAGTGTTGCGTATATTCGTGAAGGTGCCTGCATTTAAACAATGCCCTAATGTGCATCAGCATAAAACTTAATAAGAAGGTTACGGACGAGTTATCAAACATATATTTGTACTCTTACCTGCAGATCACGTCTATTATACACATGTAGTTTTATTACCATGATTTATCCCGTTTAACATGACCGTCGTTTGGCATGCAGCTGCAGTTTGCTTTGAGCAGGGTGTATGTGCACAACATTACAAAACATTGAACTGGAACGAATCACAAACCACGTCATAAACAACGAGTGTAATTTCGTACGGGTCCACCCCCTAGTATTCTATCCCGGTATTAGTGGATTTTGCTCAAGGCACGGCGCTCGATTCTACTGATGTGTGTGTGTGTGTGTGTGTGTGTGTGTGTGTGTGTGTGTGTGTGTGTGTGTGTGTGTGTGTGTGTGTGAACACTGTGGGTAGAGAGTGAACACTGTGGGTAGAGAGTGAACACTGTGGGTAGAGAGGGGGAACACGGCGGGTCTAGCTGTTATTGTAAGCTAACGGGCGGCGGGGGGTGCGCGGACGTCACTGCGACGAAGAACTGGCTTGTTTTAATCGCGTCGGATTAACGCCGGCTAATCTGTTTATTGTTCGCACTCGCGCCTTTGCTAAGACTCGATGGCTAATACTCGACTGAATGCGACCAAAAGATCTGTTTGGATTCGGCTGCTCGCGCAAGAAAGCGGCACGAACAATCGCCGAGCGTCGGCAGCAGATAAGTGACGCTGTCATTCGCCGTGGCAGCCGCCGTCTATCCGGCCTAGCTGTCAGTCAATAGCGAGCCAGGTATCGGGGGCCAGTCACAGGGAGGGACGGGTCGCGCGCGCGTACGCCGTATACCCGTACGCCGTCTTTCACTCTTTCGCTGTCCATCTCGCAGCGCAGGTAAGACGAACGTAGGTCGGTCTATCCGCCGCCGCCGCTGCTGCTGTTGTTGCTGCTGTTTACTGCTGCTGCTGCTGTTGTTGCTGCTGCTACTACTGCTGCTTGCATCTCGCCTGAATGCTCACCGTGTATGCTGCAGTGCCACTACGCCGACGAGGAGTGTGTGTCTAGCATGCAGCCGACGTCGTTGATCGGATCAAACGAGTTAACGCCGACGAAGACGACGATACCGACGACGACGATGCCGACGATCATTCTACGATAGTGTCGCTCGCCACATCGCGCACGGACCCCCCCGTCACCCAGCCGCCACGATGGACGACGAATTTGACTTCGAGAGCTCGCTCGATTTCGACAACTCGTCGTCGGTGAACTTTGACCTGGACAGCTCGCTCGACTCGGGCATCGAAAATTGTGTCGGCAGCTCGTCGCCGACCAGCGAGGACGTACCGACGACGACGTCGCCGCGCAAGGCGCCGCGTAAGCGTCGGCGTAAGCGCATGCTGACGGGCGTCAGTCGGCAGCGACGGGCGGCGAACGCTCGCGAGCGGAATCGCATTCATGGAGTCAACATGGCGTTCCTGCGACTGCGCGACACGCTCCCGGTGAGCGGCGGCGGCGACGAGATATCAAAGATCGACACGCTGCGTCTGGCCGCCAAGTGGATCGCGCATCTCACGTCCGTGCTGATGACGGAGGACGACGGTAAGAGCGACGAGAACGTCGGCGGCGGTGCGACGTTGTCGTCGGCGCTGTCGGCCGCCGTCCGCGCGCACATCATGCAGCTCATCAATTCCAAGATGGACGACTTTGAGATCGCGTCGCTCGACGACGAGCCGGACGACGAAGCTGCTGACGCGGCGGTGATGTCGCCGACAACGACGACGCGAGCTGACGCGGCGGAGACGTCGCCACCGCCGACGACGCCGACGAGTGTCACCGAGAACGCTCCGGTACTCGCGCCAAGCGAAGTTACTCGCGCGAAATCTCATCTGCAACGACATTCCGAGATTAATAATAACAACAACGGCGACGATGACAACACGCGCGTGGTCGGCAGAGACGATGGGTTTAATCATTGCGGTTTATACAAGATGGCGGCAAAGGATGGCAGCGATCCTAGACGCACGCAGCCATCGCAACAACAGATGAACGATAGCGCAAACAACATGGCCGCCACCACCGCCAGCGCCGCGAACTGCGCGTACACGCAGAGAAACCTTCATCACGACTTTGCTGGAAACGTTTCTTCGGCAATGTTGCCTAGTCAGCAGAATGCGCTCGTCGTGCAGGATACTACGGGAGACTTCCTCGATACGATACTGGAGCAGAACTTTCACAGCAAGCAGCAGGTGTTCAGTACGAACTCCTACTACGGTGGAAACGGCGACGGCTATAGTCCATGGGCAGGTAATAATGGTCAACTATAAACATCGATTGTTCGTTTGGTTACCATTTGCGTGACAGAAACATTGCTAGTATTTGTAGTGTGTCGATGTCTTAACCGGGAATACATTAATAATGGTATTACTTATTTATTATTCGTGATGATATCTATGCTTGTGTGTGTGAACGTGTGGTGTTTCACGTCGCCCACTTTACTGAAAATCCGGAGTTATCTACAAATAAGCAAATAAGTATAATTACCAAAATTCGATTACAATTAAAAATCTCTACGTTGCAACTCCTGCCGAAAACATTCTAAATAAATCGATACATCTGTATTTGTATTAGATGAGTTGATGACTGATTGCATTAATGTGTTTTAAGAATTTAATATCGGACGAAGACGTCGTGTATATGCATCACTGCTCGGTTAGAGCTTTATTTATTGTAAATGCAGCGGCCGGGTGAAAATTGGTCGCGGAAATCCATCCACAACTGGATACGCGTGCGCGTATACCGGAGCCGTGAATAGATATGCGAACACATAGGTGAATGGATGGGGACAATGTTTGCAGCGGCACACACGTCCGGCAGGATGGTGTGTGTGCTATCGAGTCTACCTTGCTTATCTCCCCCGTTTCACGTGCACAGTCTGTTAGAGGCGCACCCTGTGCTTATTCAAGTGAAAGCAAAGCGTGAATAAGCCGGTAAGCACGAAAGTAGAGTCTTCATCCTTCGCTTATCTTCAAACGTCGGCATCGGTCGGCCGCAACGTTGTCGCCCACGGGGCCACCGCTCCAGCGTCGGCAAAGTCCCCGCGGCTTATACATGCGTTCGGTGATAGCATGGGGGGCATTAGTCGGACTCGAGACACTACCCCGCAGTGTGATGGTACCAAACAGACGTGTTACTATTAACGCTGGGCGTTAGTGTAGCAGATTCGTCACCCTGGTAGCCGCCATAGTAAACACTCATAGGAGTTTTCCTACGGAGACTCTGACGCCCTTCTAAGTTGCGCGGTTAAATATGTAAGTGTATCTGTATGAACACAATAACGTGTTGTTACCTATTAGGCTAGTTGTGAAAAAACACAACACCTAAATTCAATCGATGCACAAGATATTCATCGATCAACATAATATACAATCGATGTGTCTAATGTAAGTGTATAGCAGTATATATATATATAGGCATATATATATATATATATGTATAATTATATATATACATATATATAACACCTGTATATATAACGTATATATATATCCCCTATAACACCCATATATATATATATGGCTACTTAGACATGCGACCTCGCGCCTCTACAACAGCGTGCGTCGTCGACCTGGTTCGCACACCGATGCCCATTTACGACACCGTAGTATACACCGCCGTAAACCCCCACGAGGCGCAATTCACGCCACTATTTATTGTCACCTGTACAGATTAGTTCACACCTTGGAGAAAACGAAACCGGTAATTTGCGCGGAAAATGTAGGTATGATGATGACAAGGCAGTGTTGTTTAGCTAATGAGTGTGCGGGGGACCGCTGCTGGTGACGCATCGCTTGCTTGACTAGGTCGGCTCTCTCATCCTCAACTGTTTAGCATATATCTACGAGGGGACAGGTGTGTGCATAAATAATGTGACTCTCACAGGTGGTCACTGACTAAACTTTGCAAATTTGCGTATTTGCTTTGTTATTGATGTTAATAATAATAATAATGAGCTTGTTTAATTGCTAATACATATCAATTACGTAACCGTGACACGACATAACTTTCGTTTCCGACTGCTGCAGTTTAATGAACGAAGAGACTTACAAAGCTGCTTGCGATTCGAAGGGGGCAAACAATCCAGATATAAATATGGAAACAACGTCGACAAACATAACTTCATAATCACAGAACGTACTACCAATAAAATATTATACTAACACTACTGCGAGCGACATTTAAATTAACAAATACACGTCGGAGTGATAAACCGCGATCGCTGCGTCTATGTTACGACTGTGGTCGGAACTGCCCCTACGCGTGAGAAAACAGCTTATGCAAACTCAAAAAATTACTTGTAACATTCTGTACCTTCAGTTCGCATTTGTCGGTAAGACTTGCGTTGCCCAGGTGATTCTACTGGACCGTGATTGAATGCGTGAGCGCACTAGTAAGCAGGAGAGGCTAGAGAGAATTGCCACAAAATGGCCGGGATGTGACGCGTTCTAACAAGGGGGCTAGGGTACATACGCTTGTTTGCTTGCATAACGACCTGTGGCTATAGTAAAGGTAGTGCGCGTGAAATATATGTCTTTATATATTACCCGATTGATATACGGTAAAGGGAAAATGTGCCGGAGCGGGTGCTAGAGATGACACGTAAATCTAATACCGCTGCTGTGTCGTAGTGATGAAAATTCACTTGTTAGTGCGTAATTTCGTTATATATTTAAACGCTTGTGTAATCGTGTATTTAATGTTTTAAAATATTTGCAGAATTGACTACACCCGGTTTCTAGCTTACGCGCATGTATGCGCAGTAAAATAAGCATTTCCTCAAGCCAACTAAATTATTTCCTTAAAAACAATATCGCTATATAAATGTCAAGGTGAAATATAACAAAATAACTATCACCACTACTACTAAAACGATTAACACAAAATTTGGAATGAATAATGTCATAGAATATTTTTTCGCGAGCAAGCTTAACGTGTATTCAATAAAACATTGTGCAGCAAATGCCAGTATTGTGTTAATAATGTCATTGATCACTATTGGAGTCACTAGCGGTGACGTTGAGTAGCACCTCTGACAACTCTAACTAATACTCGTTTGGTATCATACACGGGGTAGACTAAGTAATCCATTATTAATGGTCTCTCTAATGGCTTATTGTCACAGTAATTTTGAATTATTTTCTGTGATTACGGAACATTAAGTGCAGTTTTATATCATTAAAATACAATACATACGTGTACACACACGCATACACGCAAAAAACGCTCACACGTACGCACGCGCATGCAGGCGCGCCCGCGCACAATTACGATCGCGCGCGCACGCATACACACACAAACAAACGCATACGCGCGCACGAGTGTGCGCACGTACGAACGCACGCACACACACACATAATATAGACGCGCGCTAAATTTATATTTATACCCCAGATTTGTTTGAGAATCTTTTAAAGGCGAATTGAGTGTTGTGCCTTGAGTTTCGCGAATTGAGTTTCCCGCTTTGGACAAGCGTGTATTCATGGGTTAGAATGCGTACTGCTTTCGAAGAGGTGCATAAAAATCACTCTGCGCCTTATATGTGTGATATATGCACGCGACCCTAGATTATTAATATATTACTGTATATGGGGGCGGATGATATCGAGCGCCAAACTCGTATATGAGTTATTATATATTGCCGTTTTCCGTCCACCGCCGCTATTTTCTGCTGATATATTGGAATAGAATGTTTACATGTAAAGGGGTTATTGTGGTAATCAGATGCAGGATATACATTAATCTTTGTCTTGTTTGACATTATAAATCAATCAAAAAATATATAAATAAATAAATATGTCTATATATATATATATATAAGTATATATCTACCAATTGGTCCGTGTGATATCCGTTTAACATGATTTCCTCGACATTGGTTGTTTATTGTATATTGGGCGGTGCCTATGTAAGCAAATTTAACTGATGGCACAGCTTTTCAAGCATGTAGTGAGTTCCGGTGTCAGATGTCGCAATGAAACTATCAACTCTTGCGTGCTAGCATGATAAGGTGAATACGCATAGCGAGCGACATGAACGTAAAGTTACTAATATTGTGTGTGTGTGTGTGTGTGTGTGTGTGTGTGTGTGTGTGTGTGTGTGTGTGTGTGTGTGTGTGCATATACACGCAGCCCTCGCGTTTCTTCGTTTCCCGTCGGAAAACCCCTCGCGCGTCGCACACAATGGAACGGCGTTTTCATTTTCGTTGAAAGTTTTCCCCGGGCGCGGCGGCGGCGGCGTTCACGGCTTACGTTCCCGAATGAACGGTGACGTCACTGCGATTCTCGTCTACGTAGAACCGACCTAGAACACCGCGACGGTGGCACCATCTATCGTCGTCCCAGCGAAACAACGTGAAAACCTTCCCGACGCATCAGCAGCGGCACCAGCTCGTCCAATCACGTGCCGGACGGGTGGGGAATGCGAACCAATAGCTGCAGCGCGTGCCACGCACGCATCCCTCCTCCTCTGTCTCTCTCGGCGCGCGCGCGGGGGTAGAGGCCGGTCTCTTAGTTACACAGCACGTATAATTAAATCTCATAGTCGACAACACGGTTCTGTACTACGCTGTCGCAAGGAAATCTGACGCTCGCCGACGTAAATGGCTGCCGACGACGGACGACGACGTGTGTCTGCGACCGCAAGCGACAGGATTTCTCCGTCCGCTGCACCCGTGAACACCGCTGAGAGAGGTTCGGCTTCAGACCTGCTAGCCAGCTCGGACTTTGAGTCAATTTAAGTAGTACAGGCAGTGGTACTTTAAAAAGTTTAGGTGTTGGCAATTCAACTACTGTCAGTACTGTCACTAGCAATTTAGCGGGTTCCGACATTGACAATTCGAGAAATACGGACACCAGCAATTTAGCTAGTTCAGGTATTGGAAATTTAACCCGCATGGACACTGGTACTTGAACTAGTTCAAACGTTGGCAATTCAACCAGTCCGGACACTGGTGATTTAGCCAATACAGACACTGAGTATTGAACTGGAACAGACACTGGAAATTCTACCATTTCACCGGCGGAGTTGGCAATTTGGTCAGTGCGGACGTTAACAGCTCACGGACTCACGCGTTACGGAGTTGAAACATCGAATATTATTATTATTATTATTATTATTTGGGAAACAAAGTCGAACCACAGCCGATCAACCGTCATCAAGCCAGCATTATCAGGTTAGCTTCGTCTCTGAGCACGAGAAGCGGACCTCACCTCCTCCCTCCGCCCTTGCCTCCTCCTCCTCCTCCCCCT